ACATAACCTTTTTTTGTGTGTGGGGGGGGGAGGTGGGAAAAGGAGGAGGGGGGAGGAAGGAAGAGGGGAGTAGTCTAGATTCTTCTAGCTCTACTTTTTGTGTGTAATATGAAATTATGGTTAGTACACTACGGATATTCTTAAAATCATAAATACATTAAATTCGTTCTTTTTGGTTCCTTAATTGAACATAGCAAGCAAAGAAAAGTGTTTGTACAGAAGCGGCAAAAAAAATAAACAACTCCGCTCATCTGTCCTTATTCGCCCACTCCTTGTGAGAATAATACGAACACAAACTGTGTAAAAATTCCTTCACTGGAAATACACAAATAACAAATCCTGAATATATATTATAGACTAGAGGCAGATATTACTTCTTAAATGTGGGTATACTTATTTTCCCTCCATCTCGTTAACAGACTATATTGTCTCGGTTAGTCTCTAAAGATGTTATAAAGGGATTTTGCCACAATTATCTAAGAATGAAACATGTAAAAGGTTAAATTTTCTAGACATTGAAAAACATATTTTTTTTTTATGAGAAAACTTGTGCGGAAACTGTAAATATTAATCTGATATTGGAGATCTTGCGTGGATACTTACATCAGCTATTACTCATTGGATCCTCATCGCCCACCATCCTTGAGTCCACATCTACACACTCACCCACAATCTTTAAAACTGTAGAGTGGTTTGTGTTTCTCCAACGATCGTACAGAATTGCACCAAAAGTACCTATATACCACCTAGCAACCCGATGGTAAAACAGAAGTGGAATCTAGTCACATTCCTACCGTCGAACAAGCAGCAGCTGTTCACCGCTAATGTCTCCCCCTCCCCTTTCTGTAATTGTTCCGTCTACACAGAAGCAGGTATAGAAATACAGATCCCTCTCAGGACACGGGTGAGGTGAGAATAACCTCTTGATTGCACACTGGACATCGCTTTTCTACACGGAGCCACTGCTTAATGCAATTTAGATGAAATATGTGCCCACAGTTTTTTATGCGAATGCACTGCCGCGGCCCTACCGGTGTGGCACCGCCACCATCGTCATTTGTCTTCAATGCACTATCACTTTGCCTGGGGTTCCCGTGCAAAGGTGCCGGGTCCTCTGACTCCCCTTCCTCCTCCTTAAACGCATCTAAGCAGATCGCGCAGCTCCCTTCGGTAGGGGGCCTCGGCAGGTGCCGCATGCACGCGCTCATCTCCTTCTCTGAGCGCACACCTTTGCTGACGTTCCCGATGCGCTCCTCAAGAGCGAGCAGCTCCTCGTAACTCATGTCGTCGATATCCCGCTCGAGGCCCATGTGCTGCATTGTCAGCAGCTGCTGGACCTCCTGGAAGATCGGCATCCGGGACAGCAGCATCGACATCTGGCGGCTATCCCAGACCAAATCAGGGGCCTCCGGCGGCGCCTCGGGGCCCTCCCCCGCGTTTGCCCCGTCAAAACGGGTCAAAATGGGGCCGAGCATGTCGTAGACCTCAATCGCGTTGCGGATCATCCCGGTCGCGAGGCCCGCGCGGAGGTCCTCCGGGCCGGACGGCTGCCGCCGCTCAAAAAGACCCTCACCCGGGCCCATCCCCCCAAGCATCAACGGGGAGACCTGTCGTGTGCGCACGATGTCGTTAATCACCTCGCGCTGCGTATTCGGCGTCATCGTTCGTATCGACGCCTTCAAGTCGTCGTCCACGCCGAGGTGCTCCAACTCCCGCTCAATCCCCGAGTCGTCGTCGGGGTCGATTGAGTTGACGGATAGCGCGGCCTCGCTCGCGTCGAGCTCGCGGAGGCTGCTCCCGTTTGGGAAGGGGTCTTGAAGATCTGACGCACTTTCAACCGAATCAGATGATCTAGAGGTGGGCGTGGACGCATCCTCGTCTTGATCGAGGGATTCCGTGCGCTCTCGCTTGGTCATATCAACCATAATTCAACCTGATCAAATGAAATATGAACAAGATGAGACCCGGGGAATGAAAGTGTCCTATTCACTTGGTTGCGTGAGTTGTCTTTGTACCGTAGCAAGAAGAGCTAAAAATAAGAGGGGGGGGGGAACGAAAAGAAAAGAAGAAATACATAAAGGAAACCAAATTCCTTATTTCAACTACACCTCCCATATGTTCTCAAGGAGGGGAAGGAAGACATTGCCTCTTAAATACACTTCACATGGTGTATCTCTAAAGAAAAAAGGAAGAGTGAAATGGAATTTTCTCCGTCCAATAATATTCCTAATATCAAATCACTGATGTTAATGGGGCAAACCCCGTCACCATCGGCACAATTTCCTATATTCCGCCATAATTGCTCGCTCGCAGACCAGACCAGCCGCAGCAGCCTGTCTTTCAGCCTGAAGCCACCGACGAGCGGCAGCCCGATCGACCCCCTCGCGCCGCCCTGCACGCGCGGCCGCCACGCGTCGTGCAATCTCATCATTGCGATCGTCCGCCTTCACGCGCTGTCGCATGGCATCCTCAATCCCGCGAAGGTCCCCCTCAGTCAAGCTGCAAAACTGTGATCGAAGGAGGGCGGGCAGAGGGGGGTCCTCCGGGATGGCCTGGAGATGAGCGCGGCCGTAGTGTGCGCGTTTGTGGTGGTAGTTCGGACTAGGGGAGGGTGCGCCACACAACGATGCCTGGGCAGCCTCCTCCAGAGTGCTCCTGAAGGGCACTGAGGCCGTCTCGGAGGCCAACAGGGCGCGTACCAACCCACGGCTTCCCTCGGCACTCATTGAGTTTCAAAGAGATGGTGATGGTGTCACAAAAGATGTTTTGCCGAGATCTGACGCGCTAAAATTGAACACGCGGGGAATGTCTTTGGGGATTATCTATTTGACAACAACAGAGAAAAGGAGGAAGTCATGTTAGCACAGGTATCCCATAAGCAACATGGTAAAGATACCTCTCAATAGTAATAATAATAATAATAATAGAAATGAGGAGACAAACAAAAAAACTGATATCCGGAAAGGTAACATTTGAAGGGTCTTGTCAATTGCATGAATCGATGAATGCAGATCGCCCTAGGTGATCCCCCACCTTTGCATATACGGTACCCATCATTGGTGAGAAAGACCACGCCAGGGCACCTTTCCAGGCCGGTGAACAGGATGTCCTCCCGCAATTACCTTCAGCGCCTCTGGGAAGTTGTTGTGCACGCAATATGCACAAGCCACCGCGGTTCACAAGTGAGGAAATGCACATGGTCCTCCCCTCAGTGAATATTGTCGTAGAGGAAATTGCACTGGGTTCCACCTTCAGAGCCTGAATACAAACGGAACGACTTCGGCTATATTGCGAAGAAGCCTATTACCACACCCCCACACACACCGCCTTTATTATCGCCACAGGGGAAACCTGCGCGGCTAGATTGACACCGTACCCAGATCAACTCCCATGGCATGAATCTGCAGTGTTGATGAAAAACGGTGCATGGGCTTCCTAATTTACCTACTTAAAAGCCCTGCATCCTCCTAATCAGACCATATTTAGGGAAAGGGAAGAAAAAGAAAGGGGTGGAATGAATTTCGCTCACCCCACAAGTTAGGCAACCCATAGGCGTGGTGCATCGTAATCTATTAATCTTACAAAACAAGGCGACGAAAAAAGGACATTCCCCACTCGTTCCTTGGTCTATACACTATCTAGGGTGTAAATAGAATAAGAAAAAAAAAGAAGAAATATTAAAATACAACAATACTACACAATTCTTTTGTCCACATCAGGAGCTTCAGGAGTGAATGGAGGGGGAGGGAAGGGGGGAGAACATCTCAATAACTGAAGAAAGGATAACCCATACCCTGAATATTGTTGTGTACACGAATGTTACAAATTAAACATTTGCAATAAATGTTGTATCATCTTCTTTTTCAGTCTTACAGAAAAGTTGCACATTTCATGTGTCTCTTTTATCAGTTTAATACGATAATCATCTGTGGTGATCATAAGACTAAGTATAATTAGCCTCTCCATCTTGAAATAGGCATGATGAAGACATACACACACAGAGTCAATAAAGAAGGAAACGTGAAACAGGGCAACTAAAGCTTCGTAAACTAAAAAAAAAATGGATTATTTATACATATATTTATATATGTGTATATATAAGCACTGTTATAACTAAACAAATGTTAAAGTGCAGTAGCTTACTTTCAAACCAGACATTTACACAAAGTACACAGACTTCATTCACAACTATGGTTATGCTACAAATTTGCTTTCATCATAAAAATAAGAGGTGTCACACTTCAATATGGAATTATCACCATATCTCTTATTATTGAATCCCAACAATATGGAAACAAAACTGTTGAAAGAGAAAAAGGTTTATGTATGTATGAGCCATAAAAGATGATGAAACATGAAAGTTGACCTAAAAATACACATCATGCATTTCTAAAGAATTATTTTGAATTTTGTGAAGACGCAAGACAAACTATTAATATAAATACTATAATCTACATCACAGCTACGCACCAAATATGATTAAACGTTGTATTTTCACGGAAGAGAACATAATGAGACAATCACATTCACAGATCCAGGGGTAGAGGAAATCCCTGAAATCCAATATGGGCATAACCTTTACTACGCAAGCAACTTATTTGTAACAAGATATTATTAATACAAATATCCGAAAGGTCCAGCCGAGGAGGCGCATTAAAAATATCAAGACTATACAGTATAATAACTCATCACACTCAGTAATGATTATATCAATAATAATAATAATAATAATAGGAAAAATATAAAAGAAAGCAACCACACTAATACCAGCAATAATCTTACTTAATTTACACACCGTTATGGTTACCTTCTTTCCCCTTACCCACACAAACTAAGCCCTCTCTCTCTCTCTCTC